CAGTGTATTTATTCACAAGTATCATAAATGTTTTAATAAAAAGTATTGCATCAATCCCTTTAAATTGTTATACATGTTAAAAGTAAAGGAATATACAATTACTTTATTATTTTTATAATTTCTCTGTATAAATTGCAATATTAAATTATTGAATATCAAATTCATACTAAATTTAATTTTAAAGGTTAAATATGTCATTTTCCTTATTTTTAACATATTATTAATCAAAATCAATATTAATTTAAAACAATTTTTTTTTTGTTTTTAATTATTTTTTTTTATATGTAAATACTTATTTTTTAATAATAAGTAATAATATTAAAAATTAGAAGTAATAGAAAAAGTCTAATTGCACATTTGAAAGCATCACGAAAAGTTCNCTAATTGCACATTTGAAGACATCGCGAAAAGTTAATTTATTAAAGTATATTTTTGTTTTTGATGAAAGTTCCTTGTAAGTCCAGTGTATAAATCTTATAACTTTGTTATAAGTAACAAACATTTTTTATTGAAAATTACACGTTAAAAGTAAAGAAATATACAATTACTTTATTATTTTTATAATATCTCCGTAAAAATTACGATATTAAATTATTTAATATCAATTTCATACTGAATTTAATTACTATAATTATTATTTATTCATATATTATAATTATAAATCAAATAACTTATCGGGATTAAAGTAATTTTAAAGCAATTTACTTGCAAAATTTTTAATAACTTTTGAAATACTAGTCTAAAATTTGTTATCGACCATTCATTTTTTTAGATTATTTTCTATTTTATAAATTATTGAAATATGCAAATATTTATTTGAAAAAAAATTAATAACCTTTTAAGGGGTGATTTTAAAAATTAATTATAAGGTGATAAATTGAGAGTTTTATGTAACTAAAAGAAATCGAAAATTGTTCTTCCAATACTGTGAGTAATAAAGTAGTTTATTATTAACTGATCACTCTGTATACGCTTAAGGATGAACCAAAAAAATTCTTAATAGTGGATAAATTGAGCATTATACAGGTAATTCTTTAACTATGCCTCACGAAATATCTTCAAAAATGTTAAAGCTAATCATTATTTTTTTATTTTTTCAATAATAATATATTATTGTAAAATTGCTTTATACAAATAATTAATTTTCTGCTGTCATCCATACACCTTAAACTTCTAAAAACCTTTAATTTTCAAATGGTAACTCCAATTATATTTTATACATAAAATTTATTTATATTTTAAATTAATTCATTTTAATGAATCGATTTAAAACGAGTAACAGCTGTTAAAAGTTTAGAAGCGATATAAAAAGTGTATTTATTTTTAAAAGTTCTTAAAGATCTGTAGTCCATGTGATTATTTTTCAAGATTAAAGTATTCATTTTATCTCTGATCTTTCAGTTTATCTGGTCTTCAAAGATATATTATCTATTATTTTCTAACTAAATAAATACTTTGACTAATTTACAGTATAGCAGAATAATTCATCCGTCTTGATTGCTTATCTTTCAATGCAGAAAATAGAGATATTATCTTTCAAATTCGGCTTAAACCTCTACATTATTTTTCCGAACAAAAATTTCAACAAACTAAAAATTACTAAATTAGATTTAAACAAATTAGATTTAAACAAATTAAATTCGAACATATTTAACTTTTTTTGAGTTTGTAATTCAAGAATAAAAAATAAAAAAAAAACATTTATTGATTTACTTTAATGATGAACTATTTTAATTCTAATTTAGGTAATGAAAAATAATATAGAAACTGATGATTTCTAAAACTGTTATACTATAAAGTAGAATTAAAGAGGATATCATTTTATTTATTAACTTTTTTCGAGACACTCCATTTACTCAATATAATTTATACTTCGGCTATTGTCTGAAATTTCTCTCAATGCACTCTATTAGATAATAAGTAGATGATAATATTAGAAATAATGATATTTATTAAATTATTTTAAAATAAATGACCTGTCAAAAGCATGTGGAAATAAAAATACTTTTAATATTGTATTTAGATGTATTTTATTTTTATTGCTTAATTATTATATAATTTGAATATCTAATGCTTCTAGTCCTGCGTTATATATCTGCTTGATAGAAGATGTAGTGTTTTGAGTGTGTTTATTTTCTTTGCATTTATTATAACTGAGTGACTTTTAAATTTATTATTTACAATTTTTTCTATCATAGTAATTTGCTTTTAATATAAAAATCATATATTATAATTTTCACCCTAATTTATATTATAGTTGTTTATCAAGCACGGTCTCAGACATATTGCCGTTAAAAAAGTAATTTAAAACTGTAGAAAACTGTTTTGTATTTCTTTAACAAAGTATTAGTTCATCGGTATACTTCCAAAGAATTGTTTTGAACTGTTGTATACATATTTTGTAGCATATAAGTTAATTCAAAAAAATACCATACACATATGATGCAAGTCTTAATATAAAAATCATTGAACGAACTGTTAGTATATCAATTGTGATTGTAAAATAGTTTCTTACATTTTGTAATGAGCGTAAAAATTTCATCAATTTATAAACCAGTTAAATCCCTTTTTAATGAAATCAAGAAGTTTATATGTTTTGAAAGCAATAAGGCTTTCTATACCTGTATAATCACCATCATAATATTTACTACTATATAATTCAATTAACAAAATTTAATATTATATATTCTATGTATAATATTAATGTTTATCATTTGTTTATTTTTTAACAGCTTTATCATATCTAAGCACAATTTAGTTCCATTTCTCACAGTAAAAATTATCATATTAAAAAAAATAAACAAATAAGTATCCATAAGAACTAAGGCTCATAAAATTAATATTGTATAAATTTGAACATGTTTTTAGTTTTTTCAATTAGTTTATTTGTAATTGATGATATTTTTACTTCATGTTTGTTAAAAGTTAGGTATTTATCAAGTATTATAGATAGTTAAAAGTACTCATTATAAAATTTTATTTTAATAATATAAATAAAAAATTTTAGTTCTAAGTTTTAGAAATTAATCATCATAAATTATTCATTAATGGTTGGTAACAAGAAGGCGTTTGGATACCTACTTTTTTTTAGGGTTAAATTTAGGCAATTTTATGATTTATGGATGTTACGCAGTATTTTCGTATGAGAAGTAAATAATGATTAGTGTAAGTAATAAAATAATAGAAATATATGACGCAAAAACATACAAGAACATGCCAAATATAACAGCTTCCGTTTGAATTCAATGAATTTAATACAAAACTACCCATTTTTATTCTAACGATACGATGAAACTACTGATGCGATATGAATTCTGAAAATATATCTGAATTCAATATCATGTCAATTAAGGTTTTATACGCCAACTTTACCTAATACAGACACACACATAAGAAATTAAATGTATTTTTAGTATCAAAGCGCTTTTGTTGGATATTCCTGACTATTCCCGTAAGAGTGTTACAGATAAATACAACACCTCAAACTAGGAACCCATTAAAGAGGTAGCATCTAGACTCACCAACACAATCCAGATTAAAAGTAAAAGACTGGATTACTCGTCTGTCACTAGCATAACTACTGTTTCTCGTTATCAATTAAAAGTCATGAACTTTGACCTTAACTTTAGCCCCAAACACAAAAATAAAAAATAATAATGAAAATTAAATCAAACTTCATAACAATTAAAAACATTTGTATTTCGGTAGATGCAATGTGTAGCGCATTTACAGAAATATTAAAATAATAATTAACACACAATTTTAAAAATTACCGTATATGAATAAAAAATTTCACAACTGGCGTACGTAAACACCAATAAATCTTAAAAAGTATATTCTACAAACTTTGGCGAAAGTTTTTAAATTTTAAATATTAAATTCCGACATAACTGAAAAACGAAATTTCATAGAATTTTACAAGTACGAGTGTGTTTTTATATTAAACTGTATTAAAATTGTGCAATAATATATATTATATAATATAATATTATTATATATATATATATTTTTTTTTGCTTTTGATTATACACTCAATCAGTAGCATAACAAGGGGCTCAAAGAATCCTTTTAACTTACTTACTTTGAAGCTAGTAAAAGTAGGTATGTGAAAAATATAAACTCTTTAGGCTCCGCACACAAGAACCCGAGAACACTACTCATTTTTTTTTTTTTACTTTAGATAAAATATTATTTTTTTACTATAATTAGAATATTTCGTATTTTTTGGAGTTTCTACAATAGTTTAATCGGAGTTTACATATGTGAAATTTTGAAAGGATCACTTTTGTCGTAGTTAACAATTTCCCCTTCGATTTACACGCGACGAAGAATTGCATGGTCAAAATACCAATCCTCGTTTAATGGTTTTTGTCCCTTCATATAATATCTAATCCCTACTCATACTATTAGCATTACTTGCTGATCCTGTCGTTATTACAGTATAGTCTAAAACTGAAAGGTTTTACTACCAAGTACAGGTCAGAACACTTTGTGAAATTTTGATTGCTTTAAACCCAATTTTAGTTAAAAAAAAATGGAAATGCTCAAAAATAAAACCATCAGTCAGGTGTCAATAGTAACCAGATAACAAAAAACTGATTTGTAAAATTTTCATTTAGCATGATACTGAAAACAGGACTGTTTTTAGAAATGTTATCGTACCAGTAATTGTTTCGTCATACTGTTGGAATATGGTTACTCTTTTAATTAAAAAACGGTTGGTACACAGACGCCTCAACATGTATAATTTTCATTTGTTTTGTCAGCTATTTTATTTCTTGTTAAGTGATCATATATAATATAAATGAACAAATTTTTATTCAAATATTTCCCTGAAAAATTTTTCAGTTCATTGTGAATATTTTTTGAACTATTTTAATTGTTTGAATTGATTAGCTTGAATAATTGAAGCTTTTTTAACGGCATTTAAATTGGATTATCTGAAATAATTCGTATCTAATCGAGTGCTTGTATGTTATGCGTACTGGTTGTGTGTGTAGAAGGTTGGCAGCCGAAGAAGACGACGAATTATCGGAGGTACAACCGGACGCAGTACCACAAGAGGTACGCGATTGGTTGGCGTCGACGTTTACAAGGCAAATGGCCAGTCCAAGAAGAAAAGGCGATGAAAAACCAAAGTTCAAGTCGGTAGCGCATGCGATTCGAGCTGGTATATTTGTTGATCGAATCTACAGAAAAGTAACGGCAGCACCGTTGATGCAGTTTCCATCAGAAGTTGTAGGCGTTTTGAAGGTAAAAACCATAAGTACGATTTAAAATATGACACTTTAAAAATATGAAAACCAAATGTAATATTTTTAATTAAGTAATTTTCATAAAATGTACTTAAATCGAAATAAAAATTTAAGTCATTATACATGGTATATCGTATGTTATACTATTTTGTTTTGAACTTAAATGTTTATAACAAAGAAAACATGTGGAACCTTTAGATCATTCCTCTACACAAATTAAAGCGGCAATCTTTTTTTATAGTAAACATGTGACTGCAACTAAAAAAAATTTGCCACTTTATGTATTTTTCTTTCTATTTCCTAAAAAGTATATCGGTACAGAATAAATGACCGTTTTACTGGAATGATACTCTTGTACTTACTATAATATAATAAATACATAGTAACATAGTATTATGTTAAAATGTTTATTCTTATAAGAATACAATTATTGTGTAAGCTCAAACAATCATTTTTTTCAATACTAACAATATAAATTTATGTACGAATTAGTATCACTTATAAAATTCAATCGCATATCTAATGAAGTAATACAAACAGATTCTTTTCTAATAAAAACAACATTTAATAACTCCTTTACTTAAAATATAATATTTTACAACATTTCCAAATACATATAATCATAATATTTTTCCTTAATATATATATTTTTTTTATTTAGCTAAACAATTTTTAGGGTCAATAATCGTATTTATATATGTGTTACGATAAACAATACAGCTAACCCGTTAGAGCAGTCTTCATGGCGTTGATGATGGTAATATACGTCGTGATTCTTTTCCGGTGGATATGATTAATATCTACTATAATATTATTTCTCCTAAAAAAATTAATTATAATTCTTTCTCTCATTATGTTTGTTAGCTATCGACAACCTACTTGATTGTTGATAACCTACATTTTTGATAACAATATATCTGTACCATTACACTATCAGATTTTAATAAATGGTCACTATACAGCGAATTACTGTCCACAAATTATTAGTCTTCATCATAATGTGTGCGGTTTTTTTGTGTTTACAGTTGTTTAGGGTAGTGTGTAAGGAGTGGTGTGTCCAGGGGGGAGTCTAGGGATCATATCCCTGCCCATCTCGTTTTTTTTCTAGCATCGAGTACCTAACAGCTATAATTGAATAAAGTTGTAATAATTACATTGTATATTTGTATAACAACATTACATCATATACTAACACAAAATATTAATAAATATTTTAATGAGGCTTGACCTCTATAGCCCCCTTATTAATCTTTTTCTAATTCTTTCACCTCCATTAAATGTATTTAGTTGTAACTAATACTTATTAGTTATGACATCCCTCCCCATTTAAAATTCCTGGGCACGCCACTGTGTGTAAGTGTACCTCTACAATACTTAAATAGAATGAAAAAAATTATTTGACGCTAAACCAATTAAAAATGACTTTTGAGTAACAATTGAATTATAGATTCCAGCTTTTTCTCTGATTTTTAGTCGTTCTTGGATTAGAAGTCTATACATAAATATAAATAAGAATAAACATAAGAAAATCTACAGAGTCCGTTCAATAAGTATCAGGACTGGTTCCCAAAATCAAAATTTATTGTAGATATCATTACAATTACTTAATTATCTTCAAAATACATACCTTCTGCATCGATACACTTAGTTCAATGTGTTTGCCACTCGTTGAAAGCCCCCTGGAAGTCGGTTTCTGGAATACTGTGGAAAGCCTTTATGTCGCCGCGTGAACCGCCTCGATGGAGTCGAACCGATGTCCTTTGAGCTCCCTTTTCATTCGTGGAAACAATAAAAAATCAGGTGGTATCAGTTTTTGGCTATAGGAAAAAAAGGGGTGAAGCAATGTTGCCACGCCGAATTTTATCAGCAGCTGACACTCAACAGTCGCACCGTGGCACGGCGCACACTTCCCTCATCGCATGATCCTCTGTTACAATGGAATGGACGGTTCCGATTGAAAGGTCGGTCTCCTCACTGATAAGGGCAATGGTTAAAAGCCTGTCAGAGTCCAAAACTTTTTTCACTTTGGCCACCTGAGCATCGGTTTGAGCGGTCGTCGGGTGTCCGACGCGGTGCTCGTCTTCAACGAGCTTACGGCCTTTCTTGAACACTTTTTGCCACTCAAGAACTCTTATGAGGGTTAAGGCATCATCCCCATAAACCTATTTAACGAGTTCAAGGATCTCCGATGCGGATTCCCGAGTATAAAGCAACATTTCACAGCGTAGCGTTACTTGACGCTGCGATCTATACTGGCGTGACAACACCACAAAAAATCATACGCCACAAAAATCCACCTCCTGTCTCAACACATGCCCGCAGATGACTGAAATAAAATTCGTCTGAGTGGTGGAGTAGCTCTCTACAGAGCCCGACCGGTCGAACAACCATCCACTGGTCCGCTTAGCTACAGTGAACCAGTCCCCAAACTTATTGAACGGACCCTATATTGTTGAACACATTTAATCATGGTTCTATGGCTAGTATCCAAAAGCTGATGTATCATAAAATTGTAAGTTTTAGAATTAATGATTGTGTATTTAAAAAAGGATGTGTCTGTTAATAGGTTGTCAAGTTTAAAATGTGTTTAATACATTAAAACTTTCAAACATTTTAAACGTTTTAAATTGTTTACTTATATTTAAAACAGTTTGACATAACATCAACCAATAAATTGAATGTCTATTTTATCGGTAGTTATGATTTTACACTTCTAAAATGTCAATTTTCATAAAACAACATTTAATTTTCGGATTTTATTATGCTCAAAAAAAAAAAAAAATTTTTAAATTAACATATCAGTTTGTAAAAAATAACCACAGAATTAATTGCCTAAACAATGAATAAAGATTAAATCAATTAAACATTCTTTTATAGAATCTCAATGATTGGTCTTTTGACGTATATGCGTTGAGTAATTATGGAAATGGTCAACCCATCAAATACTTGGGCTATGACTTGCTCAATCGTTACGGTATTTTTCAAAAATTTAAAGTGAGTATGTTTTTGTTTTATGTTGATTATTATCATACTGATGTAAGCTTAAATTTCACAAAACAAAACGAGTTTACTTATAAACATTAAATCTCTAATTTAAATTTCCAAAAGATTTCATGTTGAGCTTTTTAAAGTTCTATAAATTTCTCTTTGTTTTCGATTTGAGAACTTCCCTTTTAATAATAATAGCAGCTTTCAATAAAAGTTTTCAAAAATAAGATTTTGTTAAGTTTATTACTTTGAGAGTAAGCAATAAAAACGAACAATTTAGGTTATAAAACAGATATTTACCAAGTTATTTTTTTTTATTAAAATATTTTTCGTGATTTAACAACTATTATTTATCTTTTAACATCAATCCTTATAACGGTGTTAACTAATTTTTTTTAATTGGCAATAGACATATTTAACTGGCTTATGAAATAGAAAATCGTCTAATTAAGAAAATGGCTGAATAATTATTAGACCACTAATTTGAAAGTTATTAACATTTTTATATGTGGATGGAAAGAAAAGTGCGCTTAAAAAATGAGTTATAATTATTATACCTACGCCAACTCCCAGTCTATAATTTAAAATAGTCATAACTTTTAAAGTACTGGTTCAAATATAGTTATCGACCCACCACACAAAGGTCTGAATCTATATTTAACTGACCAAAATTACTATTCTTTAAAATTGATTTTTCTATATTACTTATTTATCAACCCCTAAGATAATATTTATTCTTTTAAAGACATCATTTTAAGCGTCCACTCGGCAAAATAAATTTTTGTTTTAATCTTGTCTAAAATGTAAGTTTTTTCAATTTTAAAAAAGATTTTTTTTTATTTTTGTTCAAAAATTTTGAAAGGTATTTTCCAAAAATTTTTTTTTTAACTTTTAAATTTCGCAAATTTACGATTTTGATAATACAACCATAGTTCAAACCTTAAACTACAAAAAAAGACAAAATTTTGCATTGGAGTGCATATGGCTGTCAAACATCAAGTTTAACAGCGATAAGAACTTTTCAAATATGTAATTACGCACTATATTAGAAAAACCACATTTTATCCAGTTTTCTTTATACTTTTTATGTGAATTACTTAAAAATTTTTAACTCTGCTATTTTTGTTTTAAAATATAACCGAGAGAAAAAATGTTAAAAATTGTTGTGTCGACCAGAAAAGTATAGGTTTCTTATCAGTATGTGTCATTTTCTTAATTACATTTCCTATTTTATAGGCTATTTAAATATTTATGTTTATAATATATTAAATATTAAGTCGACACTCCTAAAAGTTATAAAGGTTAATGACAAATGATAAATAACATCTAATAAATCAAGACAAACATGTAAAAAAATCAAGTGTCTTTCTCAATATTATATTGATTGTGCGAGTAATTTGGCAGTTTATGAAAAAATATTTATGATAAATAAAATGTTTACTGTATTTTTTTACAGGTACCATCAGTAGTCTTGGAAAATTTTTTGAGCAAAATTGAAGAAGGCTATTCAAGGCATAAAAACCCATATCATAATAATTTACATGGTGCTGACGTTGCCCAAACTGTTCACTATATGTTATATCAAACTGGACTTATGGTAATAATCAGTCATAAGTAATGCATTAAATAAATTGTTATTTTATAATTATTTAAGTTCCTTGTAACTATAAACGAGAAAAAGTTAACAAATAAAATATGAACTATGTTTGTCGATAAAATTTTTCAAGAAAATTTAGAAAAAAATAGTAATTATTTATTTAATTACAGAATTGGTTAAGTGACTTAGAAATATTTGCCATGCTAATAGCGGCCATCACTCATGATTTTGAACATACGGGAACAACTAATAACTTTCACGTTATGTCTGGAACCGAAATCGCTCTTTTATACAATGATCGTGCAGTGTTAGAGAACTATCACATTAGTTCAACTTTCAAGTATTTAATTATAAGCTAAAATAATAAAGCTACTATTGGTGACATTAACTGAAGTTTAAACAAAATGAATTTTTTAACTTGTAGATTATTGAAAGATGAAGATTGCAATATATTACAAAATTTGACCAAAGAAGAGTACCGAGAGTTTCGAACGCTTGTCATAGACATGGTCTTGGCTACAGACATGAGTTTTCATTTTCAGCAATTGAAAACCATGAAGACTCTAATAGCCTCTCCAGATCCTACGTAAACTCTTTAAAAATAAAAATTAGTAATATGTTGTTTAATACATGTGTAAAATTAATTTAGAATCGACAAATCAAAGGCAATGTCAATGGTATTGCATTGTGCTGATATATCACATCCGGCAAAAGAATGGAATTTACACTATAAATGGACATGCCAGTTGTTAGAAGAGTTTTTCTTACAAGGTGACATGGAAAAAAAATTAGGACTACCATTTAGTCCATTATGTGACCGAAATAATACACTTATTGCTGAGTCGCAAATTGGTAAGTTATTAAGTTTTTAGTTAAAGAGCATTATATTTTTTAAATATATCATTTGAAATTTAATTATTTTTTTAAAGGATTTATTGAGTTTATTGTTGAGCCCAGTATGACAGTGTGTAGCGATATGCTTGAGGTAATATTAGGTCCTATTAATCTTATTCCACACGTGTCAGCAGTGAATACCGATGATTTGAAGTCTGGTGATCTAAATTGTCAATCAGAAGTAGCAATTGCTTGTGATGCTATGAGTTGTAGTTTAGAAGATGCAATAGGCGGAAAAGACGAAAAATCTTCAACTAATAATGGTAATTAATAGAAAAATAAAATTTAATTAAAAGTTAAGTCTTTACTTTGTAATATACAGAGTGAACCAGATGACAAATTTTATCAATTTTGATCCAATAATTATTTTTTTTTTTTAATAATTTTTTCATCTTAGATTACATTTAAAAAATAACATAAATTTATAAGAAAAAATAAAATAATTTTTTTTTTGACATATCAAAAGAGCTATTTTTCTTATAAAAAATTTGGATAAAAATTTTAAGACAAGTATTTATTGAGTTAAAAGCATTTTAATACACAGAGTACTTATGTAACGCAGACTGGGCGATAGAATTTGGGATTAGTGTTATAAATATACACCAGTACAAACTACACCCACTTACAATACATACCCACTCAATGTAATAAAGTACTTGTCACTCAATAAGAACTTATCCTAATATTGCAATCGAACCATTAAAATTTTTTGTAAAAAAAAAACAATTGTGGTAAAAACTTGTAGTGGTGTACATTTATAATGTATACTTGGCCCGTTTTACATATACATTATATGTACTTAAATGCTTTAGAAGTCAATAATTACTTATCCCAAAATTGTTAACGTTAATTATGATTTTTGTAAGAAAAGTTTTTAATATTTTAAAACAGATTTTAGCAAATGTCTGTTTTAGAATATTAAAAAAATTTAAATTCAAATTTATTTATTATTAAATAATAAAAAAATTAACAAATGACAAAAAAGTATGATTTTAACCTAGTTTAAGAATGCATAAAACGTTTAAAAATATTATTATTATAAATTGTTATTTAAATAAAAATAAGTTTTAATATTGAGACAAATTTAGATAAAAAAGAAGGAACTGGTAAACTATTCAAAATTCAGAAGCCATGGAATGAATGTCTAAACACAAATAAAAAGAAATGGAAAGAGCAAGCTGCTAGAGGTAAATACAATTGATACCATCATAATACGGTTCGAAATTTTTTTAAATGGGTTTTAACCTGAACAAAAATAAAAAAAATAATGATCAGTTTTACAACATTCTATTTGCCGAACTTGACACGATACAGAGGGTGGTGGCTCTCTCACACATGTTAAGGAATCAAAGATAGTTCAATGACGGACGGGACGGTTAATACCACTTGTGCCAGAGGACAGACACCACCAATGAGAACACTCAAGAAAAAATTTAATTATCACCCAAGGGAACGAACCTAGGACCCCGTGCGCCGAAACATACGTTTCTATCAACTAGTTAAAATCGATCCCTTTTGAAACGAACAATAGTAATCCCAGGATAGCATATACTAGGTGTTTAATAAATTTAGAAACGCTCAGTTTAATTTAAAATTAAATTAAAAAACTTTTATTAACATACTTAATTTTTCCAAGTATCAACCAATAAGAAAATTAAATACGTCATAATGCTAAAATACGTCCTTATTTTTAAAATATTGAAATTTTACTTTTAAACTTTATCACGTATCCAATATACGGGTGAGCACCACACACGCGATATATAATTTAGTACCACAGAAATAATAACAGTCGCAAATTGGTCGTCTATATGAAAATACACTTTAATAAATGTATATATATTTTTATTCCGGTGAGAATACACTCCAATAACAAAACTCGAAAGGCGAATAAAACAGTACGGTCTAAAAAAACAAGCGGAGCAACCAGTTAAGGTGTACGTCGGAAACGGAACAGAATACGCTATGAGTAATGCATAGTCGGCGGCGGCCTTGTCACGGTGTCAAGGGCGGGGAGACAACCGATTGTCATCTTAATAGGTGGACGGCTGAAAACGAGTGGGACGCGGGTGAGCACCAGTCTAGAGCGTAGCGCAGTGCCGTGACAACTTTTTTTTTTTTAACTCAAATAATGTCCTATTAGCCCACAATGATATAAGATGAAATGGGAATAATGTCACATTATCGGTTCATAATATAAAAATGTAAAGATTTCTATTTGAATTAAAAACGTAATTATTAGTTTTAATGTTTCAATGTTCTCTTATTCGCTATTGATTTATAGAAATTAATCAAATCACATTAAAGTTTTAATAAAATTATTAAAAATATTTGTTTAGAAGAAAAACTAAGACTGTCAAAGGCAAAATACACAATGAGTGACATTGAAATTCCATCAACGGATACATCTCTAGACACTTTGCCTACTGCCGAATAATTTTAATAGACATTAATGTATTTTTTTATGTTCGTTAGTGACAATACTTATTATGATTATTTAAAATATATAATGATAATAATTACACCTATAACTCATATTATTCTTGATATGGTAACAAAATAGTTTCAAGGTATAATCATGTGTAAAAACACATTATATTCTATCAAAAACAATATTTTGTTATTAGTACGTATGGACTAACTTTTAATTTTCAAATTAGACATTTTTGTGTTACTCGTTTCAATTTATGGAAAAGTATTTAGGAAATTTTTTTTATTAACCAATTATAGTAGACCACTTTACTTGATAATGTGTCGGTAAGATGTCTAAGTATAATAACAATAACACGAACTGAGATATCAAAAAATATACTACAAGTTATTTTAAACCCAAATTAACTTTTTAACTATTATTAAAATGTTGTCCATGGTAGATATAATTAACTAAAAAATAATATATTTAGTTTAATGTTGAAATTTAATTGTTTTGAAATTCCTAGGGTAACATAAGAGAGACACAAATCAATAAAAAATTTCTTTATTATATCTGATATGAACTATGTAAAATAAAAATCTTAAAATTTAAATTAAAACAATCTTCAATTGGTTTGCTGACAATTAAACACATATTTTAAATTAAATTTTTAAAAAATACCCGAAATTTTATATTTGTCTAATGAATTATCGATGTTCATTGTGAATAATTTAACCTTACCTTATGTAATTCTCAAATATTACCAAAAGGTTTTACTATGATCCGATCAAATATCTAATTTAGTTTTCCGTTAGACTAAAATATAATTTTAATTTATTATTTAACTTATGACTTAATAAAAATCGCTGAGAAATATTTTCAAAATATTATACTTAAATCTAATGCTTTATAAAATATCAAATAAAAGAAGATTATTCGAATTTACTTAACCTTTTTATGTACGCAGTGCGTTTACCTGACCAGAGATAATTATTGTTAGTATAAAACTATGATGTAGTTTTTGTATTTAATACCTACTTTTTCTATCTTTTCTATTTTTATTTTTTTGTACTCCATTAAATAAACGAATTTCAACAATTAAAATTGTCATGATTCGGAATTTTCTAAAATTATAATATATTAGATACATCAATTACGTATTAATTTTGTTATCCCAAATCGAGCGTTTATAAATCAAAATATAAGTAGAATTAGGAACGAGCAAAATTGATAATCTAATTATATAATATTCACTTAGATGTAAATATTAAATCAAAATAAAATTGTTGCCAAAATCTCATACTTTTTTAGACACATTAAATGTAATGTTAATTTAGTACACGTTAAAAAATTATAGTTATGATATTAGACTACTAAACTATTGTTGCCTTATATTGTTTCAATCGAAGTTACTGTTTATCATCAGTAACTTCGTTTGCCTTATTTGATAGATAATCACATCCTTTGTTGTGTCCTTATCATTAAGAATGGGCTAAATAAGTGGTTAAATTCTAAACCTAGTTTTTATAAAAGTTGAAATTGGGTACTTTTGTTTTCTATGCTATAGTTATAGTGATTTACTTCTATAAGTTAGGTATTTTTTTAATATATTATAACTGAAAACTATGTGTTAGTAAGTATTATCGATCACACCAATGTAATATTTAACTTTCATTATAAGACGCTGGACCATTTTGTATATAAATAAAAATAATTATAATAAATTATATATTTATATGTACCTATAAATATACTAGATATATTCATATCGTTAATGTTTATTATGTGTCATTATTTATTATATTTTATTTTATTTATTTTTTGTTACTTATTTAAATAATGATTTTTATATTAAATAATCTGTTAAGTATATAAGACTATTAAAATTTGTTTGTACAAAACTCTTAATATATATATATGCATATAATAACAATGAACAACTCTTCCTAACTAGTACACAAATATACATAACACAAAAAATATATGTTGTAAAATGTATTCAAATAATCTTATTTTTTCTAATTATCATTTAAAGAGAAATTGTAAAGTGTAATCTATTCATTAATTTCAATTATTTCATAACTATTTTATATTTAAAAATAAACAAGCACAAATAAAAAATAATCATTAATTTTTAAAATTCCAGAACTGTTAAGATATCTTTTAGATATCGAATCTATATCACTTAAACATCATATACCAAATAGCATAATTATTTCTACATTTTTGTATTCGATTTACATGGTGATTATTTTAACACTAGTGACTCAACTTCTCTTAAAAGAATACATTTTTTTTTTTTTTTGGATTTTATTAATTACATACAAATTAAATTAATTTAGTGGATACACTAAATAAACTAGTTTATAATTTCCAATTATCTGTTACAAAGTAATTTTTAACCTCATACCTTATATATTATTGAGGTGCCAACTTTAATTTTTTTAAAGGTAACATACATATTTAACTAGCTCATAAAATAAAAAATAATCTGATTAGGAAAATGACTGATCGATAACAACTTATAGACTCATCATGGCGGTAGGAGAAGTACAGCCGAGAAATAACTAATGATAAAAATTAAATTATTTTCAGTTTTATAAGCTAGTTTAATATGTAAGTTTCCATTTATTAATTATTAATTTATATAATTGACACCAATATAATATATAAGAGATGGCCCTAAAAATTATTTTATAATAGATAAATGGAGAAAAAATTAAAAATTTACAAACAATTTTTTTTTCAAAAAACTTATAAGAGAAATTTGGTTTCTAGCGCTAAAATAATCACGTATACGTCAACACTTTATAATTATATTGTTCATTCAACATTTACAATAATTAATACCTATATAAATATACAAAGCATTACCCTATATTTATGTACTATTAAAATATTCTTTTATTATTATATTTTATAATTATGGATATATTTTCTACAGGGTGTAAAAACATTTAATAAGACATTTTTGACTCTTCCCTAAAAATAATCAAATTCTAAATACTGTATTTTTTAGGGTATTGTTTGGCTATTAACGTATTTTTCAATAAAAACTTATTAAAAATAAAAAATTTAAAAGCAATTATATTTTAAATGTAATATAGTTTTTTGGTTTTTTTTTTTTGATACATTAAAACATTTTGGTAGGAAGTATTATTTCAAATAAAAAAATTGTTTGAAATTATTATCTAAATATAATATTTAAGTATAGTAAAATAATTGCTCGTATAACTAATTACTTTCAGAAAAATTATTTATTTTAATTTTATTTGTTAGTAATTATTGCTAAAACAATCTTTACTTTATTAACTACTCGACTACCCTGTAAGTATGAAGTTACAGCATACAATTTTCATTAGAAATGCTATTTGAAAAAATAAAATTTTAATTTCATGTAAAAGGCATAATTTTAGCCAGTTAGCATGTAATCTAATTTTTAAATTAACATTCTTATGTGCCAATGTATGTGTAAAAATATTATTTCAAAATATTCAGAGTGTCTAGTAAGTAAGGAAACAGGTCAATTGTTATAAACAATGAGAAAAATAGAAAATGGTTTCTTACTAACTGAACACCCTGTATAAAGGTACATTTCTTTAACTCATTATTATGTAAAAATACAAAAATGCATGTTAAAATTATATTTATGTTCCTTAGTATTAGTATCATTATTTATTTATTTGCTTAGGTGCGCATAATTATAGTTTTAATAGTTATATAAAAATTATAAATGAGTAAGTTTATAATTAAAAAATGTTTATATATTCTAATTTTGTTAATCTGTTAGTCCTATTCTTGCTATCCTGCTTTGTATTGTAATATTTATCAATAATAAAACATGATATAGTTTTTTGTTATAAATCTATTTCCGTGTCATCCTTTTTACCTTTCACTATTTTTGAAAAAATTTCATTGAGTCATGGTTATTTGTAGACACCTGTATTAATTTTTCTAATTAAGTCTTTTGACAAATACTTTTAAAAAACTACTACATGTTTTAAATGTATTCTACATAAAATAGCCTATTAATGAAATTTAATATTGTAAAAATAATTATCCTGAGAAATATTCTTAACTTTAACGTTTCATTAAATTAATATTTTGAGGAATTGAATGGCATTTTAAGCTCATTAGGATAGTAGATGCGTATCATAAATTAGTCCTGGAAAATTTAGGTTATAAATTGAGTTAAGATTTTGTATGAAATATGTTTATAAAACTCCTTATTAATTAAACTGATCAAATAGAACAAATCACAATACGACAGGGAATAGGGGGTAAATGAGAAAGCTCTTACTCTTAATATTAGGGGTATTTTCAACTTTCATAATGTTTTTAAAACTTTACATTTGTAAACAGTTCTTTATTTAGATATAAATTTTAGGATAAGTAATCCTATTACACAGTAATTGATATTATTTGTATTAATTGTTTTTAGTTATGTTATTATTTTTTTACCATTGGCGATTCAAAATGAGAAAACTGACTAGCTAAAAAATTATTTTTTTTATTTATTTAAAAATACTTAGAATTGAGTGTGTTAGATTAAGTTTTGAGTTATGTATACCATTATCAGTGGCGCCTCGTGGCTTGGACGACGAGACGATCACACCCCTTACTAAAATTGATTAAAAGAAGAAAATTAATTAATTCTACATTTTTATTAAAAATGCAAATTTTTAAATAGTAAAATAGTCATAATACATTTGTCATGTACGAACATTAAAGTTATTTTCTTCATTATATGCGGGTATTCATTCACACACGAGCAGATTTGGGCGACCAACAGCATCGCAACAGTATCGTCCGAAAAATATTTTGTAACGTATATTATAAACAAGGCGGCCAATCTGGTGCGTGCGGGTACAGTTTAGGTGCGATCTTATGTACAGGTTTTGGATGACCAACAGTGTCGTCCATACGATAAAATATTAGTATAACATTAGTTTGGGTAATTTATTTTTAGAATTAACTACGTGTACGCTCGTCGTCATCATTTGCTATAATAGTATAATCGCTATTATTACCGCTATTTCGCTGCGACCTTTAAAATAGTAATATGTCTTCTTCTTCCTCGCCTTAATCCCAATTACTTGGGTTCGGCTACCCTTATCCTAAACTTCCAATTGACACGATCACCCACATAATCTACGCTCACATCAACTGTCCTCATATCGCATTCAATAGCATTCTTCCATCTCTTTTTTGGTCCTCCTCAACATCTTCTTCTTTTAACATTTATTTCTATATTTGTTTTTATAGCTTCCGATTTTTCTATTCTCAAAACATGATCAAACCATCTAAGTCTATATTTTCTCATTTTATCCACAATTGACGCTACACCTATACTCTCTCTTATATGTTCGTTCCTTATCCTATCTTTTCTAGTCACTCCACCATCCAAGTATTTTCATCTCTGCTACAATCATTCTCTGCTCTACTTTCTAGTCAACCGCCCAATACTGAACCACACATCATAAATGGCCTTATTTCAGTCTTGTAGATTTTACCTTTCAGCCTCATTGGAATTCTTTTATCGCATAAGACGCCAGACGCTTCTATCCACTTCAACCACCCGCACTTAATTCTGTGTCTTATATCCTCGTCAATACCAACACTCTTTTGCACAACTGACCCTAAATACTTAAAACTCTCCACATCTCCAATCACGTCCTCGCCTATTGTCACTGACCTCCTCATTTCACCTACCTCGTGATCTCCTTTGTTCAACTCGTACTCTATATACTTTGTCTTACATCTATTTAATCTTAAACCCTTTTTTTCAAGAGTTAATCTTCACACCACTAGCGTTTGATTAATTTCCTCTCCATTTTTCCTATTAACACTATATCGTCAGCAAACAATATGTACCACGGCACCTCTCCTTGTATTTCTCTAGTAATTTCATCCATCACTATAGAGAATAAGTAAGGGCTTAAAGAAGAACCTAGGTGCACTCCTACTCTTACTCGAAAACCTTCTGATACTCCTCCTACGCTTTGGTACAAGTGCTATCATACAAATCTTCTATTGTATTAATGTACGATTTCGGGACTTCTTTTCTCATTAATGACCACTTTAAAACCTCTCTCGGTACTCCAAATATATAAATACTATACACAGCTTTTTCTTATTTTCCCTAAACTTTTCTATTAGTTGCCTCACACAAAATACTGACTCCATTGTTGACTTACCAGGCATAAATCCAAACTGGTTTTTAGATACCGATGTCTCATATCTTACTGTCTTATCTTTTACCTTCTCACAAATTTTCATATTATG